CGAACATCTGCTCCACCTGCGGAGGCACTGGCGTGAGAGGCAGTCCCCTGGCTTCCAGCACAGCCCACATAGCTGTGACCCGAGGGAGACCTGGGACCCTTCACCCTGCCTACTGGGGCTGTGCTTTGGGCTGTAGCCTTTTCAGCCCCAAACCCAAAACACCGGGTTAAAGTTTTTCCGTTGACTGACTTTGAACAGACTGGGGAGTGGCCCCAAATGGGGGCCATGGGTCAAAGGGCCCACCCTGGCCACGGGGACAGGCCCACCCCACGTGTGCAAAGCCTCTTCTGGCAGCTCTTGCGCCTGGGTCTTTGCACACGGTTCCCCTGCCTGGCACACCGTCCTCTCTTTTCTGACGCCACGTCTTCTCCCTCCAGGTCTCAACACAGATGGCACCTCCTCCGGAAAGGCCCCTGCGTCACCCTTTCAGCAACTGCCACGCTGGTGCTGGGCTCCGAGCCCTGGTGGGCAGTGGGTCGCCAAGGCCCCCAGTGCCCTGCCTAGGGGGAGGGCCTAGGGAAGGTGCTGGGACACGTGTTGAAGGGGTCGGGAAGGCTCACCTCGGCTGGGGAGAACTTGTCTGCCTGGGTCAGGAGAAGCTGCTTGAACCTGGGGGAAGTGGGAGGGCCTGAGTGGGGTGACCTGCGGTGGGTAACCACACAGGGACCAGGAGGACAGAGACTCCCAGGGCCCAGGGAAGGGCTGTTCCACCCCACACGGAGCAGTGAAGGCCCCAAAGTACAGACAGCCCCCCTCACGAGGGGCCTCACTGCCCCCTCTGCTTCCAACACGGTGCCCCTCGTCTGGCCAGGCTCAACTTACTCATCCTTGTTCACCACCCCCTTGCCGCTGGGGTCAAACATGCGGAAGGCACTCAGGATGGCTTCCTCGGGGTCTGTCCCTGGAAGCCAAGGCAGCCAGGTGAACACCCACGTCTCCAGCCTCCCTGGTCCCACCCAGGAGGAACCTGGGGTGCACGAGGAGCCCTCTGTGTCCCAGAAGAGGTGACGGGCATTTTCCAATATAAAGTATTCCCTGGGGCTCCGAGGGGCTGGCAATGCCTATCCCCGGGGAGGGCAGGCCTGGCTGGGAGGCCGGGATTTGGGAGTGGAGGCTGAAGGCACTTTTCCCGCTCCCAAGTTAACGCTGGGGTGACAGTGCCCATGGGATGCTGAAGCAGAGGGTGTGTAGGGGTGGGCCCCAAGTCCTTTGGATGGGCCATGGCAGGTGGGGTCCAGGTAGGGTTCAGGTGGTATTCAGGGGAGGTCTGGGTGTGTTCAGGTAGGGTCCAGGTGAGGTTCAGGCAGAGTTTGGGTGGAGCTTAGGCAGGGTTCAGGTGGGTTTCAGGCGGGGTTCAGGCTCGCTGCCTGGCCACGGGAGCCCAGCTCTGCCCCGGCTCACCGTTGAGCTTCTCGCCAAAGAGCGTGAGGAAGACGGTGAAGTTGATGGGGCCCTTCCCCTCCTGCAGCATGGCGTCCAGCTCCTCCTCTGGGACGCTCACCTTCCCTGGTGGGCGTAGGGCATGAGATACACAGGGCCCCTGGGTGTCCCTGAGAAGGACCCAGGCTTCCCTCCCCTCCTTTCTGGCCACAGTGGGTGGAGAGGCAGAGCAGCTCTGGGTGAGGGAGGTGACGTGGAAAGAAGGTGTGACAAGAGGGGGAAGGCAGCGTGAGGAGATGCGAGGAGTGTAGGAGCGAAGCAGGGCACTGTCCTCTCAGCCGTTCCCACCCGCCCAACGCTCTGAGTAGGGTCCCTGGGGTGAGCAGGGTGTGGCAGGTGGGTGCACGCACCGAGCTGGGAGTAGGTCTCCCTCAGGTCCGACTTGCAGATGATGCCATCACGATTCTGGTCAATGCAGCTGAAGGCCTGTGAGGTTGGGGCCCTTCAGGTGGGTGCAGCCCCCTACTCTAGGGCAGGTGGGAGGTGGGGTAGAGTCTGGGATAGTGTGAGAGGGGCAGGTGGGGGTGTCAGGATGGGGTCTGAGGCTGTTGGGGGTGGGGCACTCACTTCTTTGAACTCCTGGATCTGGGCTTGTTCGAACATGGAAAAGACGTTGGAAGAGCCACGTTGGGTCTGCTTGGTGGCTGCAGCCTTGCCTCGGGTTCCCGCCTTCCTGCTGGCCTACAACTCCATAGGTAGGGAGGGGTCCTCTCCCCAACTCCACAAAGTCTCCCCTCCCCATCCATGCATAGTCCCGGAGCACTGTCAGGAGAGCCTGGGGCAGGGTTCTCTTCCTGTCCCTGGAGACCTCCTGTCTGGGCCCAATGCAGGCACAGAGGTCCCTGGCTCTGCTCCCCAAGCCCAAAGGCCGGCACGTAGGGGGCCACGGGCCTTTCCATCCCCAGCAGGCACTCACCATTCTCTCTGCACAGCGGCCTGGCTGCCGTCATCGTTTGTCACAGGGCCCAGCCTCTTTTATGTCTCAGCCTTATCACCTGGAGGTCCAAATAAGGGCAGGAGCAGAGGACAGGCCCAAACTTGGCAGCCACCGCCTGGGAACGGGGGACAAGGGCCCCAGCAGATTCCAGCCACTTTCCTAGTGACCTTCATGTCCCCGTTGTGTAACATCCTGGAGATGGCTCAGGATGCAATGTCTCTCATCACTCTAGGTGCTGAATGAAGGCTACTGCCATCTCCCTCCTGCAGGTCCAGCCGGAGCCCTGGCCAGGCTCGGGTCAGCTGGGGAGGGCTGGCCCAGGGCTCTTGTGGACTTTTGGGGGGCAGTGGGTGTTCTGAGGATAGTTTCTGGCCTGAGACCCCCAGGAGCTCCCAGAGGCTTTGATGACAACTCTAGGCTCTGACCTCTTTCCCTTCTGACTGAGGGGCAGGAGGCAGCCCTGAGTTGGCTGTGACCCCAGGCAGAATCCTTTGCTTGGCTTTGGGGCAATTCTGGAGAGAGAAGGAAACCCTCTGGCTGCCTTCCCTGTGCAGTCTGCCCTGCCTGGGGTGCCTCTTGTGGACATTTCCACCTCTGCTCTTTGGAGCCTTTGCGTCCCTCCAGCCCCATCTCAACTCCACTTCCTTTGAAAAGCTCTCTCTGCTGTTTCCAGCAGTGAGCTCACAGGGCACATTTCCCATTTGCTTGGTGGCTCTCCTCCTGGTCGACATCTGTGTCCACAGAGGGCCTGGTGCCCTGGCCGACAGGCAGACCCGTGTGATGCTATTTTGCACGAAGCTTTTGAAGCATACAGCCTGAACCCCAAGCATCCTCTTGGACCCCCTGAAGATGGTGCTGAATGATAGAACAAGAGCCCAGGCACTCTCTGCTGTTCTAGAGCAGCTCCTCTAGAGCATGGGCCCCTGAGGAGCTGGGGAAGCAGGGAGACAGCAGGAGTGACGCCCTGCTCCCAGGCTGGGCTCACTGGCTGCCACCCGCCAACGGAGCTATGCAAGGCTGCCCCCTCCTGCCGCCCCTCCACTGGGGCCAGGCCTGCATCTGGCAGCGGTTGGCTGGTAGAGCACAGGGGCTCTCATCGGTCAGGCCCTCAGCTCCATGTGTGTAATAAGTGTTTTATGACACCTCCTTTACTGTCTGGAAAAGAAATTCATTTCATTTATTTCAACTCATTCATTCCCATTCAGACCCATACAAACAATTTTTTTTTTTTTTTTTTTTTTTTTTTATGACAGTCTCACTCTGTTGCCCGGGCTAGAGTGAGTGCCGTGGCGTCAGCCTAGCTCACAGCAACCTCAAACTCCTGGGCTCAAGCGATCCTCCTGCCTCAGGCTCCCGAGTAGCTGGGACTACAGGCATGCGCCACGATGCCCGGCTAATTTTTTCTATATATTTTTAATTGTCCAGATAATTTCTTTCTATTTTTTTTTTTTTTAGTAGAGACGGGGGTCTCACTCTTGCTCAGGCTGGTCTGGAACTCCTGAGCTCAAACGATCCGCCTGCCTCGGCCTCCCAGAGTGCTAGGATTACAGGCGTGAGCCACCGCACCTGGCCAGAAAGCGATTTATATTGAAATGTGCTCTAATATATGAAAGCTCCAACACGAGGACAATGGTGCTGACAATGAATAAGACGCTTGCACCAACTTACAATGATTACAGTCAAGGGTGCTGGGAAGAGCTGAAGCCATTCCAGATGTGAAGTACCAGAAAATGAGAGAAGATCTGAAGGGGAAAGTGACTTTCCAAAATCATGACTTTGGGTTAAGTTCTGAATGAAACAAAACGCAGCTGCTCCTGATTGGCTGGGTATACTTTCTCTCATTAAAAAATGAATGTGGGCCGGGCGCGGTGGCTCATGCGAGATGCAGGATCCTGACGGGACAGGATCCTGCTGAGACATACCTGCACGGGGACCCCCCCCCCCCCCCCAGCAGCACCTGACCTTGGCACTCCCTCTGCACACATCCCGTGGGTAGGCAAGCAGGGGCCTGGGCCAGGCAGTGTGCTGTCCAGTACCTCTGACCCCCCATGTCACCCCATTCCTATTCCTGTAGCCTGGTCCGTCACTCTTCACAATCTTCTGGGCATTGCTGGCCAGAAGGGATGGCAAATCCCAAGATATACCTTGGCCTACAGAAGTGTCCGCATGTACATGCCGATGTCTCTTTCTCTATTGTCCCCACAGTCCTTATGCATAGAGGTCAAAGAACGGTAGACAGGCCATGTTTAAACTTTTAAAATTTTTAATTAAAAAACCCACACAGTCCATGCCCAACTGTGGGAAGGTGGCATGGCATAGGAGAGGTCTGGTGAGGACAAGAGAGAGGGCCTTGGGTGGTCCCTTCGGGGTGTGCTGAATGTTGCTCAGGGTTTCTTCCTGGGCCAGTGCCGAGGGAGCCGAAGATGCCACCCTGCCCGTGGAAGCAGGTAGGGGGCTCCGGCTAGTGCCGGGCTGGTCCTCCTCCCCTTCATGGGCCCCTTGGGGCAGGGGCTTGGGGGCTCTGTCTCTGTCACCTGCAGTGAGGGTTCATCCCAGAAGCACAAACCACTCAGGGATGGGGAGATGGGAGGGAAAAGGTCTCTGGGGGTACCCATAGCCTGGGACACCTCCTCCATGGAGCCTTCTCCTATTGCTTCTCCTGCCTCCTGAGCCATGGGCAAGAAGACAGCCAGGCCTGGGTGATCAGCTGCCCCTGGCTCTCCTGTGGGGCTCAGGTCTGGCCAAGCTCCTGGAGCTGCCTCTCCACACAGGAGAGTTCCCAGGGAAATCAGGCCACAGTAGGGTCCAGAGGGCACCACCTTCCGAAAGCCAGGGCCCAGGCCAGGCTGACAGCTCTAAGAGGCAGGCAGCGTGGAGATGCAAAAATGTCCTGAGTGAGCAACTCCCTTCTGGGTAGTTGATTCCAGCAAGAAAGGAGAGGAGTGGTGGGAGTCTGTTCCTGTCCTCCCAGCCCCCTGCCCCAGTCAGGGCTCTAGGGCTCTCCGACTGCTCGTTTCCTGGGTTCCCCAGCGGGATGGGAGCATCCAGGGTTCCTCCTGCCCCGGCCAGGCTGGGAGCTCCTGTGGGGAATGCTGTCCCCATCGGGCCCACGACCAGTGGGCCGCGGCCTCCTCCCTGTCCTTGCGGCCTCTGCTCCTACTGGCCCAGCATACAGGCCTTCTTACAGGCCACCGCCGAGACCAGGGCCGCGCCCCGGCCACTGCCCTCCTCCGACTCGATGAAGGTGATCTCGCAGCTGGGCGTCAACCTGCGCACGCTGGCGTGGAACCGCTCCTTGAAGCTGGGCAGCAGGGAAACAGGGCTGCTGTCCCTCCTCCCTGCCCTCCCAGACTTCACCCCTGCCCATCCTCCATAGCCATTACCCGGAGCCTTGAACGCAGCCGACCCTCTCCCAGCATCTAGGCCGCGGGGGACGAGGAGAAGAGGATGGCTCTCCCCAGAGCTGGGAGCCACAGGAAACCTCAGAGCGTGCGCGGGGCCTCGCGTTAGCAGGGGGAGGGCAGGCGGGCAAGTGGAGGGGCTCACCTGGGGTGCAGCTTGTACACCGAGCCGTCCACGCCCACGGTGATGCGCATCACGTCCTCGCTGCGGCTCTCGCGCATGCGGTTGATGACGCCCGCCAGCCCGGCCGAGCACATGTGCGCGGCGCGCGTGGACACGCTCTCACAGACGCGGCGCACGATGTCGCAGTCCGCGGCCGAGGGCCGCAGCCCCAGCGTGCTCAGGATGTTGTGGATCTGCTTGCAGTCGCCCGAGTCGCTGCGGGGCGGGAGGAGATGGGGCCGGCGCTGAGGGTCGCACCGCCAGCCCGCCCCCACCAGCGACGGCCTCCGCTTCTCCAGGGAGGGGCCCCGGCGAGCCGTGCCCCCAGCCGCGGCCTCTTCCCCTGGCTGAGCCGGGGCCTCTCCCTGGAGAAATGGGGGCGACGCTGCTCATCTCACCCAGCCGAAGGGTTTGGGGCTTGGGCTCGGGAGGGGAGCCGGTCCCGCTTCAGCCGGAGACCAGCAGTAACCTGGTCAGCACTACCCGCTCGAAGCCCAGGGTCTCCGCTCTAACATCGACACTGTCTCAGCAATGCCGCCCTCGGGCTGTGCGTGAAGTGAGACTGTCCCCACCGGGTGGGAAGCCAGGGAGGGGACGCGCGGATGGGGTCTGCCTCTCGGACGACTGCTCGCCCCAGCCCCTTCCCTTTGAGTCGCAGCCCAGGACCCCGCCTCCTGTGCCCTGCCCATGGAACCGTCCCCACCCGGGACACCGCCCCCTGCCACCTGAGCCCGAAGCCCGCCCTGGTCCCTCGTTTCCTGCCCCTGCGTCCCGGGCCTGGGATTCCGCCTTGCCCTGGGATCAGGTTGTCCGTCCCCCTGCGCCCCTGCCCCTGCCCTTGGCGTCCCCGCCCCGAGGCCCCGCCCCTAAGCCCCGCTCCTCCCCTGCGCGCACCTCTCCACCTGCGACACGAAGCGCGTCTCGAAGGCGCCGCGCGTGCGAAGCTGCTCCGAGGCCTCCCCGTGGAAGAGCAAGTTCTCGTCCGCTAGCCTGAGCAGCACCAGCCGCACCAGCTCGCCCATGTACTTGCCGCCGATGAGCTTCTCGTACCTGGACATAGGGCGCCCGGTTATGCCGGCAGGCCCGCGGAGGAGGGCCTGAGCACAGGTGGAGGCCGCGAGCGGGCTCCCACTGCTCCCTTGCGGTCAAGAGGCGGCCACGTGGGGCGCTGTGACTCCCCTCACCCCCGCCCTCACTCCTGCCCTCACTCCCACCCCCAGCCCCCAACCCCATTGCCCAAGGACCTGGGTTCACGTCTTTTCCCTCGTTTAGAAAACGGGGCTTTTGAAACAACTGGGATTGGGAACGTGCACGTTCAGCCTGGCGCTGGGCCCAGCTCAGGAAAAGGACAAGGAGTCCAAAGACCCCGCCCAGTTCCTCTGGAACCTTCCTTGTACCTGGCTCTGTGCTGAGCATGCGGCCTGTATCTTTAGTCTTCCTACAGCCATGTTAGGGGCTGCTGTCCCCATCGGCCACTTATGGTCGGGAAACTAAGGCTCAGAGGGTTAGTGACCAGCCTGAGCGAGCACCACGGAGTTGGCACATTCTTGCTTAATCTATGAGCCTCTGTATTTTCGTTTATGTTTAATACCACTGACCTAATGGAGGCTAATAAAGTAACTAGCACAGGCCTAGCACGTAGTAGGTGGTTAACAAATGACAGTCAGGATTAATGACAAAGCTCTGTGCCTGTTGGTTCCCAATTGGCGTCTGACAGCCTGCAGCATTCCACAAAGACTAATATGCATTCTGTGAACGTGGACAGATATGTACTTTGGGGACCTACGGGTTAAACCCAGAAATCTTGGTGGGGCGTCTCAGAGCCTTCTCCCTGCCCAAGATCACCTGTCGGAAGGGGAAAGGTTGAAACAACCACGGACTAATCCTTCACAGAGCTAAAGGGACAGAGCTTACGAAAGGCCAGTTTGCTTTTCCCCAGAGCTGTTTAAAAACAAGCCCATTATCTTGTGGGGGCTGGGCTCCCATCTGCTGCTGTGCCAGAGCCGCCCAGGGCCCGGGCTGAGGGGGCGGGGGTCCTTACAGCTGCTGACCGGGGTTCGCGGAGCTCTCGTCCACCAGGCGGTCATACTCCAGCAGGAACTCGTCCAGCTCTCCCGAGTCCCCGAAGGCACCCCACTCAGTGTTGACGCACATGCGGCCCTCATCCCCTTCCACCAGCTCCACGTTCTGCATCTCCTCCATGTAGCAGGCGTTGCAGCCCGTGCCTGGTGGAGGCGGGGGTGCTCATGAGCTGCACTTTCCTGGGGAGCCCCCCTGTAGGGCCTGGTTCCTGCCAGCAGGAGGCCCTCTTCCCCCTCCTCATGCCCCCCCACATGCTGGTGTGGAGGGTCTCTGTGTTGCCTGGAGCAATGGACAGGGGGCTCTCCCTGGGGCTGGAACACCTGGTTTGGCTGTGTGGCTGGGGGTAGATGGGCCAGTACTCTGGGCTGTACCCTTCCCTAAGAGAGGATAGTAACACCTACCCCACCTGTTACCTGTCTGTTGAGAGGATGCAGGGACAGCATGTATCAAAACAATGGGAGTGGGATGTTATGTTTTTTTCCTGTCTATGCACCACCCTTGTTTTCTGGCACTTTCCTTGCATGTGTTTGATGTCCTGAGCCATGTTTGGGGGGCACCCCAAGGTGAGTAAGGCATGGAGTGGGCCCTTGGGAGCAGCCCAGAGGCTACTGCAGGCAGGACCAGATATGGAATTTGTAATTTGCTGGGCACTGTGCAGAGTGATAATGTGGAGTCCTTTGTTCATAAACTATTAGCATTTTCAAAATGATGACGGCAGAGCATCAAGCCAGCCTCCTGCATGGGCTGCACACGCATGAAGCCATCAGGGACAGCAACTCAAATGCCAATCAATCAAGCTGCCAGATAGGAATCAGGGCCCAGTGATGCCCAGCCTTCCAGCATTTTGTGAACAGCAACAACAACAACAACAAAAAACCCAAAAATCCCCAGAAATCCACACTTTGATGTGAAATTTGAGATTTGGTAATTATTTTAGATCTTGGTAATTATTATAAACATGTTTTTAAACACTGTGCAGGGTCACCAAGAGTGTTTGGGGCAGACGTGAGCCACCCTTTGGCACCTCTGCTCTAGGAGGGGTATGCCTGGGCTGGTGGCTGTGGCTTGGCCTGGTGAAAATTCAGTGTCAAGGTGTCTTGGGGAGCCGCAGGCAGCTGCTGAGGAGAGGGCTGGGAGGGCAGAGGGAGCACAGCTAGGGACATTGGGGTTCACATTTAGATGCTGGACTTAAAGACAGCCTTCCCTCCAGAAGGTGAGAATGGAAGTAAGAGAAGTAGGAAACAAGACGTGCACCAAAGCAAGATCAGGCTGGAGCTTAGAAGATGTGTGTGTACATATGTGTACGTTACATGTATGCATAGGTATGCATGTGTACAATATATAAAAAACACATATATGCTATTTTTTAGGGGGGGAATACAATTCCGAATGGGTAAGAACACAAATACATAACCTTGCACAGTTGGCTCTGAAGGGCCCATAATAGCAAACAACTTTAACGCTGACTTTCTGGGTAACCAGGGCCCAGAGTCCAGAAAAATAGCCGCATGGTAGGTGCACAGCAGATAACTGATCTAATTGGATCGCTCCTCAGTAGAGGCGCATTATCATGGTCCCCGGAACTTCTGAGAAAGGCCTGAGATTGGTGTGAGAGATCCCTCTGCTGGGAGGGAAGGGCCGCTGCTCCCTTTTCTCCTACCTGCCTTCACTTTGGGCAGTGGCAGGGTCCGGGTAAGAACACCCAGGAAGGGATGGCGCCGTTTTTGCATATCCTCTTCTACTTGGACAAGTCTTTCCAGTTTGGTCAATTTACCAGATCAAGTGTTTTAAATAAATCCTGATGGACCAGGCAGATATGCAGCTGGCGTGCCATCTGATGCGGTCATGCTACATCCGTGTTGGAATGCTTCCCACCACGAAGCAGTGCCTGCATCTCAACACTCCAAGACCACCTGGGCTCCAGTATCAGGCCCTGCTCCAACGTCACCAGTTGTTAGGTACTTTGGCCCTCACCCCACAGGGCCCTGAGCAGCCTGCTGAACACAGGGAGCCTCAGCAGTCTGGAAGGGTCAGGGGTGCAAGGAGCCCTTACCCACAATCATGCCGACCTCGCACTGGCGGTCTTCGTAGTAGCAGGAGATCATTGTGGCCACCGTGTCATTTACCATCGCCACCACGTCCATCTCAAAGTCCTGCCAAGAAGCACAGAGGCTGCAGTGATGGGGGTAGGGAGAAAGGCTGGTAGTACTGGGGTGGGGGGCCCAGGGCAGCTCCTGGGCAGATGCAGGCATGCCCTCACCCCTCTCCGTTTGATGGCATCTCGCAGAAGCCCCACAATGTTGTTCCCTTCTGCTCCCGAGGCCTTGAAGCCCTTGGTCCAGTTGAGAAGGATGCCCTGTGGGAAGAGGAGGGCCTTATGGCTGCTGACTCATGCTGAGGCAGGGTGCTGTGGCCCTTCACCAGCTCCTGCCTAGGGTCACAGGAATATGCACCCCACTTTACAGCTGAGGAAACATGCTCAGGGCAGTCCCATAGCTTTGACAGGTGTTGGAGATGATTCTCCTTGAATAGCTCATGTTTCTGCAGGGCTGAGTCCCAGCCAAGTTAAGAGTGTTTGTACTGTAAAGCCCTGAGACGTCATGGCAGAGTAAAAAGACAGGTCCCAAGGGAGCAGCTCTCCGTGAGATCGGGGTTCCTCTCCTACAACACGCCCCACTGCGTGTGAAAGTGCCACTTTCCCCTCACTGTATCTCTGCGAGGACTGGGGCTTGGAAAACCACAGATGTTGCTTGGGCTGCTGCTTTTGCCATGAGCAATGACCTGGCTTTGTCTCTGACCCGGAGGGCTCAGTTTCACGCATGTGCATGTATAATTTACATGTGGGTGTGTGTAGATGTAAGTGGCAGGCTACCTTGCTATCTTGCAAGTAGGGTACAATCTCAGTCCCTTCACATTTCTGACTCAGCCAGAGGCAGCGTGGTGTCCCCGTGGTCTGTGGCTGAGCTGGAGCGGGGCTGCCTGAGTTTGAGCTGCCACTTCCCACTGCAGTGGGACGACCCCAGCATGGGCCTCATGGAGTTGTGGGGAGGCTTAGGGCACGCAGTAAGAATCAGCTAATAGTACGCTTATTTTCCAAAGCTTCACAGTGATGGGCCACGGTCTGAATCCAGATCTCCCTCTGGAGTTTGGGCTCCTCCCCGTCATGGTGTGCGTGGGGCTGCACTTGGAGGCGGAGTTCCTCTGGGTGCAGCTCCCTCCATCTGCCCGCCTTCCGTGCCTCCCCCTGGCCCACCTTGTCGATGTCTTCGTGCCTCACGGGAAAGGAGAAGGTGAAGCCCAGGGGCAGCTTCTTGTGCTTCATCTGATGTTTGTCCAGGAAGTCGGAGATGCACTCGGAGATGTAGTCAAAGAGCTGGAAGACGCACACCCAGGTGGCCATTAGGCGACGGGGCTGGGCCAGCCAGCAGCCCTCCCTAGGGCCACGTGCCGAGGTGATGGAGAGTTGCTGAGCCACCAGGCCCCAGGGAAGCGCTGGCCTCTGTGCCCGCCACTGAATGGCAGCCTGTCCACAGTTCCCCTCTCCTCTTCCACAGCTGCTTGTTGGAGGCTCAGGCCTGAGCCTCCCCTGGTGCCAGAGCCCTGCTGCCAGCAGCTCCAGGAACATGGTGACACAGGGTAGGCTTGTCCTCAGCCCTCCCAGCTGACCCGGTGGGGTCCAGCCTCAGGCCTGGCTGGCTGTTCCTGAGGCTGCAGATGGACGCACATCCTTGGCCATAACTGCGATTTCTGTCTCCAGCACCTGGAGTCTCCTTGGCTACTTCCAGGTGTCCTGGCTGCCCCACCCCTGCCAAAGTCCGGCCGCCACTCCCCCTGCATGTGCTTGTCCACGTTCACTGCTGAGTGCTCCCTGCCGAGCGTCAAGGCCCACATCATTCCTGCCCAGCCTGACGGGCAGACCAGCAAGCTGCAGGTGTGTGGGGACGGGCGGCACTGCCAGCCTCCTGCCTTGAAACCCCACCCCTCTGGGAATCAGCTGGGGGCTCCGGCCTTGCTGGCCTCCCCCCTGGGTTCATTCTACTTCTATGCCCCCCACCTCCAGTGCTCCCCATGGTCAGGGGCCCTTGCTGCCTGGGCACATATTGCGACTGCTGCCACCCCACTTTGTGTGCACGCTGGCAGAGGGCAAGGGCAACCCTGGGAAGGGGTGGACTGCACAGGCTGCGTGAGGCAGGACGAGCACATTCTCCTGGCTGCCCCATCACGTTTCTGTCTTTACCTCCCAGGTTTTCCTCTGGGAAATGGGACAGGTTGTGACTGGCTGGGGCTTCTTCTACCACTGACCCCTCCCAGTGCTGGCCAGATGGTGACTGGGAGTTGGGAGCACATCGGCCATACCTGGCCTGTCCACCTAGGCCTCTGAGTTGCCTTCCTGGGTCCTCGGAGGCTGGGGGTCCTCCTGCCCACAGTTCTTTCTGCCAAGCCCTGAGATCCTAGACGGCCTCAACCCCCCACCCCGTGTCCCTGGCCTCCCAAGCTGCTCACCATCTCAGCGGTGCCCGTCATGGCGTCCTCGGGGATGGAGTACATCTGGTGCTTGGTCTTCACGCTCCACTGCCCCGCCTCGCCCTCCCCCACCTTAACCAGCATCACCCTGAAGTTGGTGCCGCCCAGGTCCAGGGAGAGGAAGTCTCCAACTTCTGCAGGCACAGGGAGAAGTGCATCATGGGCACCGACTGGCAGGCCCTGGGCTGGGTGGGACCCGGGTGGCCAGCCCCTGGGAGACCAGAAAGAGGAGGAGGGGAAGGTGTGGGGGGACCAAGGGAGCTGGGCAAGGGGCTGCCGATGCCAGACATCTGGGGACACCAGAGCAAACTGTGGAGGGGTCAAAAGGAAACTGGGGAAAAGCCAGTGGGAAATCCTGGCCTTGCACTGGGTCACCTGGAGTCCAGGGATCAACTGAGACCTAGTGCGATGGCCCAGACTCAGGCTGGGCTGGGGGAGGGTTCCCCTAAGTGACCAAGGGGAGCAGCAAGATGAAAAAGGCCATTCTTCCTGAGGCTTGCTGGCTCCAGGTGGGCCTGGGTGCCCCAGGGCGACCATAGGAGCCAAGGACGAGAATTCATTGCTCCCCAGGGATCCCACGTCAGGGAGACTGGGGTCAGCCTGGTTTGGAAGTGCCTGGAGTGCCGCCCCAGGCTGGGGCCTGGCCCACAGCTGCCTCGGACGAGGAGCCGGTCCCTGTGTGGGGCCTGTCCCTGCCGTACCTGAGCCTTCTGGGGTGGAGCGTACATAGGTGGGCAGCATCTTCACGCTGGCCTCCTCGTGGGTCTCGAGCTTCAGGCCGCGGTCCATCTCCTTCTGCATCCGCCTCATCACCTTCTTCAGGTCCTCCTCCTGCAGCTGGAACTCCGCCAGGATCTGCTCCACCTGCACAGGGAGGGGGATGGCAGCTGCGGGCGGGGTGAGGCCGTCACAGACACCCACACCCCAGCGGTCTCACGGGCATCTCCCCCACACACCTTGGGTTTTCTTTTTCTTTTTTTTAAGATAGAGACGGGGTCTCGCTCTTGCTCAGGCTGGTCTTGAGCTCCTGAGCTCAAGCAATCCTCCCGCCTCGGCCTCCCAGAGTGCTAAGATTACAGGCGTGAGCCACTATGCCCGGCCTAGCCTTGGGTTTTCTTTTGTCCTCTGACCCCAGGTCCAGGATGACCCATCAAACTATTCACTACAGTTAAAACTACCTACAAAGTCAGAAGACCTAATTCCAAGACTCAAAAATTCAACAAATTTAGCCTGGGATATATTTGGAGGAACGAGGGGCAGAGGGCAGAGTGGCTTCTGTCCCTGTCAATATTCTTATGGCATAATATCTTGTAATGCCTCCATTTGTCCCTCCTACTGGGACAAGGGGGGAAGAAAGGGTTCACAGGGAAGGCTGGTGAGCTGGGGCTGGAGGGCACCGGGCAGCTGGCACCACTGAAAGATCCAGTCATTCTGCTGGGACCTATGCCAGGAAATAATGGGCCAGTCTGCACAAGTGTGCATAAGGGAGGAGTGAACACTGATAGGTGTCTGCGAACTAAAGCCACCCACGGCGCGGACACTCAGAGGCCGCAAAGGGAGGAGGGTCTCTATGCGTTGACGGGAGAGAGGCCCGTGCACATGAAGTTCAGCTTCGATGCTGCCATTCCTGTGAGTGTGGACGGCCTGTGGTGTGGCAGCTCGCCCTGCACACGGTGGCGTGAGAACGGGCCTTGAATGCAGCTGTGGCTCTGCCCCTGTGTCCCCAGAAAGCTGGACCCTGTAGGTAGACAGTCGTGTGTCTGTGCCTTTTGCACAATAGTGCATATTCATGGAGAAAAGGCCATGTTGATGCACCGATTATCTCTGGGCAGTGGTAAGAAAGACGATCATAAAGATATTTTCCTTTTGAACCATATTTCTTTTTTTCCCATATTTCACTTCTTGAAAATGAAAGATGCTCTGATAAAAGCTGTGGATCCACTCTTTATAAAAACTCACACTCTTTTGCCCACAGTCTCACATATAAGCTCAGGGGGTTGGAGATGCTCTGAATTCCAGCTGGGAGGCAACACAGCCTTCTGCTCTCTCTGCCTTAGTTTTTAGAACCCAGATTTTGTTGTGTTGCAGGGAGTGGGGGGACATTAAGCTATAGTTTTGCTAAGCCAAGCACAGCAATTCTATCATTTCTTGTTGGTGATGGGTCTAGAGTTGGGCATGTGACCCAGTCCTGGCCAATGCAGATGAAGGAATACCTGATTTTAGTAGCAGGGGAGCTTCAGTGCCCCCTAAATTTGTAAACACAGCTGTATAAGGATGTGATGACTGGCACTACAATAGCCATCTTGCAACCAAGAGGAGACAAGGCTGTAGGAAAAAGCTGTTAGCAAATTATGGATGGTAGAGAAGAGAGATTGATGCCAGACCTACCTGCCCCCACGTGCTAGGTATGGCAGCAAATACTAACAGCTTAGGCAAATACTAACTGCTTAGGTAGTCAGCTGTTTGATTTCCTGCAGTCCAAAGCATTCCTAGTGGGTACAGAGCCTTAGTGAAGAACTACTTCTCTTAATGAGGCCCCGTATGTAAGATTCAAGCCCATGGAAGGTCAGAAAGGGATGGGGCTGACAAAGTCTGTGAGGGAAGACACAGAATCAAATGCTCATGTTGTCTGAGCAGGAGCTGTTCTGCAGCTCTGGAATAGGGTGGGAGTGTAGCCTCCCCACCTGTCCCTGCGGAACACACCCCTGGAGACATCCCCAGTGCTCTGTAGAACAATCCAGGCTGTCCTCAAAGGCCCACAGCTATGACCTTTGCCTCCTGTCTTTCTTTCCTACGCTTGCCAATATAGAATATTCCAGGAACTAACTGTAACAACATTTAACATTTGCTGAATTCCTCCGTATGCTAGGCCCTGAGCTGGGTGCTTTCCACCGCTGCCTCGCACCTTTCACCCTTGTCCCAGCAGCACTGGGGAGGAGGTGCCACTCTCTTGCAGACAAGGAAAGGCTTACAGAAGTCACTTGTACAGGCACATGCAGCCAGCATGCTGCGGTGGGGCCAGTGCCCAGAGCCACATGCATGGGGACTCCTGGCAGGAAGTCCTCACCAGCCTGCCTGGCATGTCTTCTGAGATGAAACTGTTCAGAGGGACCCAATTATCAGACATCTGTGGGCTCTTAACAAAAGTGACGCTCATCTTGCAAGGGCCCAGCCCTTAGGCGCACTGGGTTCCATGCTTGCCCCTCTGTCCTAGCAGGCCAACCTGGTGGCCATGGGCCTGGACTCTGGCCTTTGGCCCAAGGCTTTTCATGGGAGGAGGCAACACTTCAGTCTGAGGTCTCAGGGGAAGACAATGGTGTGGAGCCTGTGGCCAGGCAGAACATGGCTATATTGTTTGACGGACAAGGGCCCTTGAGTGGCCCTTCCTCAAAGGGCTGTGGGGAGAGCTGGCCCAGCCCTTGGAGGGACACAGTAAGAACTACATAAATGGTGGCTGTTGTTTCTGTTATTTCAGGTGCAGGGGCCGGTAGGGCCCTGCAAACTGCAGGGGAGGCTCCAGTCTTCACCGTCTGTACCCAGGCCTGTGTGGGGCCCTGCCACCAACTGGATGACGCCCCGACTCTGCCGGCTTCTAGGCCAGAAAGTGCCCCCTGAGGAATCCTGGGCATGGCATGAAGTCAAACTGATACCCCCTGTTCAGAGGGTAATTTGGAGTTTCTATCAATATTTAATTTTGATCTAGCAATTTCTCTCTTAAGAATCTGTTCTGCAGAAAGAGTTCTGCAAGCATTTCACAGGGTTCACACAATGGCGTCCCCCACTGCAACAGTGAGGACCCTGTATCCACCAGTGGGCCACCAACACTTAGCACGGGGCCTGCGTGGGCCTGTCCAGTGAGGGAGGTAGGGCCCGCCCCATGAGGCACGTCTGGGCGTAAGTGACAGAGTGGGATGGGACCTTAGCCAGGACCTGATCACATTTCTTCCTTTTTTATACTTTTTCCTGGCTGGCTCTACTCTGGTGACCTGATCCCATTTCTGTAAATAAAGTTGCATTTGGCCTGTAGATCCAATTTGTCCCGTATAACATTTTCAAAAGCTTACATTTGCTGCCAACGTTTAAAATCTATTTAAAATAGAGACATTTTTATAGAAAAATCTGGATTTCTATAAGAATAGGTCTGCATTCTCCCTGGAGCTATAGGGAGGGTGTGTTGGGTGGGGGAGCATGTTCCCCGGCACTGGTGGCAGCTGGCGGGAGTCGCCTTATACTGTGCACTGCCCTGGCCAGGTGCTGCGGGGTCCCCCTGCCCTGTCCACGTCACAGGGGCTGTAGGGACTCGTCACGCACATACGCTTCCCGGTGGGCACAGGTGGGAGGACGGGTGCTGCAAGGTGCCAAGGCTGTAACGACGGGCAGACCTGGGGATTCAGCTCCTGCGAAGGGAGCATCCTCCAAAGGCAAGCCTTGTCCGTGGCGGGCACAGGCTGCTTCCTCAGGGCGCACTGGGGCCTGCGGACGCCCACACCCCCGGCGCTTGGTCGGTGTGCAGTCCCAGAGGAGGCAGCTCTGACCTGGCTTGGTCTCGCCACCTTGGGGATCACATCATGTCTGCCTCACAGACCCCCTGGACACGTCCAGGAGCAGGGACTGAAGCAGACCCACACTTCCCGTGTGCCAGGCCCACTCCGGACACTACCCCCCGTCATTCCCACAGTCACCCAGGGACACAGGTGCTTTGATTATCTCTGTTTCTCACAAGTGAGCAAACTGGACACAGAGGTACAAACCCTTCCCAAGCCCTCAGAGCTGGGGTGCACAGAGCTGGGGCTCCAACCCAGGCACCAGCTCTGAGCCTTCCCCACACCCAGCAAGGTGCCTCCTGCCTGGTTCCAGGGCCTGGCCCCAGCCGTTCCTGGGGTCCAGACCCCTGCTACCAGTGTCTCTCTGACAAGCCTTGTGCTGGGTGTCTGTGCGAGCTTACAGGACTTCCCTGAGCAGCTTAGGAAATGTGGGTGCCGCCTGGTCCCCTAGGTGTGGCCTTGGGAGGAGAAAGCGCAGACGGAGACTACCCCTACCTAGCAGCCTGGGGAGGCAACCCCGACTGGCTGGCAGAGGTTTCTCTCGCTGAGGACACGTAATCAGGGCCCACAGTGGCAACCAAATGTTGGGCTTTTCCTGCCTGAGGACACCCCCACACTCCCTGCAGGGCAACTGAACCCCATGTCCCCAGTAGATGCCCACCACAAGCCGGGCACAACGAGGGCACAGGAGCAGAGTAAGAGCAGGACCAGCCCCTCTGGTGGGAGCAGCTGGAAAGAATCATCAAGCTGGGGGCAAACTGGGGGAGGGGAACAAAGCAGGGGTGGGCAGGAGCCTGCACTGAGGTCAGAAGGGAGTGAGGCCTGGAGTCGTCTGCAGCTGAGAGGGTTGGGGAGGAAGTGGGGCGCCAGGCTGCCCCAGCGATCCGGGGCGCAGGGCCGGTGAGAGTCCAGATTTATTCTGAAGCGAGGGCACAAGTAACATTTGCTCACAGATTGAGACGGGGTGAGAGTAAGCGAAGAGTCTGGAAAGGAGGGGCTCCGCTCACTGAGGTGGGGTCGTGAACTTGGTCTAAGCTGACGAATAGGAGGTTCGTCCCAAGTAGCACTTGGCTATGGGAGGCAGGGTCCACGGGAGGGTTTGGCTGAGAGAGAAATTTGGAAGCCATCAGTATGGAGACAATCCTGAAGCCGCAGGCCTGAACACGGTCACTGGTCGCACGGTTGGACAGCAAAGTGGAAGGGGTGGAGGCAGGGCTGCAGAGTCGGCTGGGAAGACGCCAGCCCCTTTATGCAGTGAGTGGTGCTTTGAGATCCCACGCCCAGAACATGGTGAAAAGGCAGGACACCCTCTAGTGCTGCATTTGACAGACTCGAGGGCATGGGGGGCCAGTCTGGGTGGACGCGGCCAGCCTAGAGGACATGACCACGCGCCAGCGCAGCCCCTGGGCAAGTGCTGCAGGCCCATGGGCTCCAGAGCCCATTTCAGAGCCATGTGTCCAGCTTCAGCCTGGCCCCCTCCATTCCTGGGCTCTCGGGTGGCTGTGCACACAGTAGTGAGTGACCCTGGGCCAGCCACCCACATCCTCCAGAGAAAGAAGCCCTGATCCACCAACACCTGGAGCTGCCGTGCAGAACCCCTGGGAGCTGACAGCATTGGGCAGCCAGCTGCACCCCATAAAAGCTCCAAGCCTGGCACTGGTGTCCTTGGTCACTGTTAGCCCCAGGAGTAAGTTCCCTAGAACTCCCAAGAGGCTGGACAGTAGACAGCCACAGTGAAGAGGGGCAGTGGGGAGAGGAGCTGGTGTAGGCATAGCTGCCGTAGCCAGGACCCCTGAGGCCTGTGCACTTTCTTCCAAGGGGTCCAGCGTCCACTCGCCATCCCTGCCCCAACCTTGGTTTTGGTAATCTCCAAAACCAAGGGTGCCACCCTGGGGACCGCTCTCCCAACCTAGAGTCCCTGGCTTTGGAGTGACACTTACCAGAGTCAAGGCTGTCTGGGACTTGCTTCTTGTGGCATCCACTGCCATCTCTCCGAGGGGACAAGAGGCAGGTGTTTTGGGAGGTAGAGGTGCTCCTGCCTGCGACCCTGAAGTCTGAGGCTTGCCTGCGGCAGGCGAGGGCTGCCTGGCCAGAGAGTTGCCCGAAGCAGGCAGCTCAGAGCTTCTGCACTGAGAGGGTTCGGCAGGCGGCTGCTGAAATACTCTGCCCACAGCCTGGGGTCAGGGTTGACAGGGCCACGGGGCAAGTGCCATGCCTGTGAACACCGGGTCGGGACTGCTGCCCAGAGGGTGGGGAGGGGGTGTGGGGCCAGCCAATGCGTCCTCCATTCCTCGGACTTGTGTAGGTGGGAAGTCACCAGGCTGCCCCGGGGGGCAGAGCTCGTTGAAATGCCCAAAGACAGGGAAGGGTTTTGACAGGGCCCGGCCTGTGCCAGGGAGGGTTTGGACTTGCTCTTGGAGGTCATGGAGATCCCCGGTGGATTTTCATCTGTGGAGAGGCCCGACGTGCATTCATACAATCCAGGGGTCTGTATGGCCTTTGGGGGTGGGGCAGGCCAGTAGTAGGAAGGCCAGGTCCGAACCCTCCAGCCAGTGGGGCCAAGGGATTAGCTTGGCAGTGCACACACAGCTTCATGGGGCCTTTGAGAGCAGGTGGAGGTCCCCAGAGCTGCCCCCAACAGATCCCCCCAAGTAGTCAGGACTCTTCAACTATAAATCATCAACTCATCTCAAAATGACTTGAACCAAAAACAAGCAAAAAGCTGGGGAGGTCATTCTGAGGTTTTGTGACTGCAAAGTCTAGGCCTAGGGCTCTCTTTGGGCATGTCCATCCAGACACAGACCATGTCTCCCAGGCTCTGGCCCTGTCACCTCCTTGGGCTTACCTGGGAGTGACCCTGCATACCCTGAACTTGCTGGCACCTGCCGAACCCTGCTAAAATTAGCCGGAGCTGGCAAGTGGGTCAGGGTACAGAGGGGCCTTGTCAGAATGCCAGGTTCTCCCGCCAGTGGCCAGTATGCTCACACCTGAGGAAGCCCTTGACACGATTGATTGCTTTCCCAAAATAGAGCAAAGATGGCCTCGCCAGACCCTGTGTGACGGGTCCCTGACCTGTCCAGGCCCTGGCTCTGAGCCACTGTTTGCTTGTGGGAACCAGGCTCATACCCGGGTTTGGAGTGGGTGTGGGGGCCACCTTCTGGACCAGCCACGCCAAGACGCAGCTGTTCAAGGGGGCTTGAGCTTTTCCGGGGGGGTCAAGCATACAGCACAGGTGAGGAGAATCTAAACCCTCCGGCTCTGTGCTCTGGGAGGTGGAAGTGGAGGGCGAGGACGAAGGCTGGGGCTGAGGCCTCCTTTCTGGTTTGGCTGGACTCTCAGTGCCCTCTCTGTAGGCCTAGCTTGTACATTAGTCAACATGCATCCTTCCCCAGAGTTCTTTCCTACTTGCACTCACTGGCACCTGTGTGGGCAGAAAGGGGTGCAATATCCCCACTTCCCCACACTGGCTAACCCCCCAGGACTAGACTCTCACACCACACCAGCCCTCCTGTGCACCCCCTTGTCCTGTCTCGGTGCTTCCTCTGTAGGTGAAGGGCTGATGCCAATGTGTTGGAACTGTGCTAGAGCTGAGAGTGTGGCAGGGGACAGTTCCTGCTTTCAAGGAATTTTGGATACACAAGCCTGTCCAGAACCTGTCTGGAGAGGAGGGGCCAGGAAGAGGAGGGCCTCAGAGATGATGGTTGTGAGGGACGCCCAGGACACACTCAGAGTCTTTGCTATCTCAAGGCTGTCCTGAGGAGGATGGGTGAACATTGTTTCTGTTTAGAACTTTCTTAAAAAAACAATGGCAATGAGCTAGGATGTCTCAGAAGACAGTGAGCTCCCCGTTCAATGGGAGAGAAAGAAAAGAGCAGAGTCAGAAGGGATCCTACTCTTGGTCCCACGGGTATCCCTGCCTCTTGGTTGCTCAAGGAGCTGATTGACAGGCATGACTTCATTTTCTTTTTCATTTATTGCAAGAAAATAATATGACAATTCCAGTGATGGATATTTAAGATTATCTATTCTAGTATCAAACAATGGGACACAACCCAAAATCCCACTGTAGGGGACTGGCAAATAAATTATGCTACATATGCCGTCATTAAAAATGGTAAGATGGATCTGCTTCTATTGGCATGGAAAGATATTCATGACATGCTGTTTAAAGGGAATGTGGTGGCCACCCTCCAAGGTGGCTTCCAGTGAGCCTTGCTCCTGGTATTCACCCCACGCTGAGTAGGTCTAGCCTGCGTAACTGATAGGATAATGCAGAAATGATAAAGTGTGACTTTGGAAGATGAGCCAGAAAAGACATTGTGATTTCTGCCTTGCTCTCTCTTGGATTGTTCCTTCTGGAGGAAGCCAACTGCCATGTCATGAGAACACTTAAGTCCTCTGGGAAGGTCCACCAAGAAGTGAGGCCTCCTGCTAATAGGCAGCTCCAACTTGCCAGGCATCTGAATGGACCACCCTGGAAGCAGATTCACCAGCCCCAGGCAAGCCTTCAGATGATGCAGCCCCAGCTAACACCTTGACTGCAACCTCAGGAGAGACATCAAACCAGAGCATGCAGCTAAGCTGCGTCTGAATTCCTGACCTATAGAAACTGCACGAGATTATAAAGGTTTGTTGTTTCAAGCCACTACTTTTTTTAAAAAAGCATTTCATAAAATAACATTTTATTATTATAGGACAAATAAGTTTAGAAACCATTTTCTATCTTTTAGCATATGTTCCAGATATAGGACAGTATGATACAACATTCTTATCACCATAGTACGTGCTTGGAAAGGTGAAGCCACTAAGTTTTGAGGTAATTTGTTACATAGCAATAGATGACTAACACAGGGGATACACAGAAAACATAGTATGACCCATTTTTGTCATATATATGTATATATGATATATTATTACTAGATTATTAGATTAATTGATTATTATTAATAGATTATTAATAGATTAATAGTATTATTAATAGATAATATACATGTAGAAAGAAATACAAATGGTAACAATAATTATATTAATGTTGGAAATATAAACGACTTCATTTTCCTTTTTGTTTATCTGTATTTTGTATATTTTCTGCAATAAATGTGTATTAATGAAGTAATATTTAAAAATCAAGTTAAAAAAAAGTAAGGTTGGGCCTCATCTGCTATTTTTCCCAGAAGCTGAGGCCCAGACTCTAAAGGATGGAGGTTCACAGTTAAATAGGCCAAATTACCAGCCCCATATGCCAGTGGGAAAGAAAGTGGTGACCAGGAAGTCAGGGAGCCCAAAGTGCCAGCCCCTCCCCCACTGGCCTGTTCCCTGACTGCCCTCGGCTCTGGCTGGGCACCAGGTGTGGGCACACTGATGCAACAGGGCCTAGAGGTTAGTATGGTGTTGCAAATGTTTGCTTACAGCAGGGTAGACTCAAGACTGGCTGTGCTCTTGTGCTGAGGGGCAGGCCAAGGGCCTGGTGAGTGGGAGGGTGTCAGACAGTGGGTGGTGGCCTGTGACCAGGATGTCAGGAAGAGAGGCAAAGGGGAGATGAACTGAGAGTCAGCAGAGCATGCCAGGATCCAACAACCACAACTAGTGTATGCCCACTGGCTTCCACATGCCAGGTGCTGTGTCAGACCTTTTACATGGATGGCAACAGGACTGCACGCTGAGGGCTGTCATTTTATATATGGGGAAACTGAGGTCTGTGGGAGTTAAGGAACTTACTAGGATGCAAAAGTTACAAGGGACTTGGCCAGGATTCACCCCCAAGTGAGCCCGATTCCAGGGTTGTTAACAGTTTAATCTTCTTGACTATGTGGGGAATGTTTCAGGGCCAAGCAGATGCTGGCAGCAGGAAATATCCTCTGGGGCTGCTTCTGTGCTGGAGATGTTCAGAGGCTTCAGCTGAAGCTGGTGGAGGTAGACACACTGGTAGCCACAGAGTCTGCTCTGCCCCAGTGTTTGCTTCTGACAGCAGACAGGGCAGGGCATCAGGGCTGAAGCCTAAGGTCAGCTCTACAGGGGGAGAAGGGCATGTCTGGGTGAGGGAGCAGGGAGTAGTCCTGTGCATTGCCTGGGGAGGGGCGGAGGGGTGGGAGAATCATCCAAGACCCCATGAGGACAGGCAGGATAACACTGGGGTAACACAGGAGTGTGAGGCCCCCAGCCTGATTTCAAAGACTGACTTTGCCACTTACAGGCTCTAGGGCCTTGGGCAAGTCCCTTAATGTTTCTAGGCCTCAGTTGCCTCATCAGTAAAGGAGGAGTAACAAATTCCCTGCCTCACATGGCTGTTGAGAGGATTCAATGGGATAATGTACATCAGGCTGTTGGCACATACAAGTTGTTCAAAAGTATGTGGCTATTGTTGCTACCAAAGGATATTTTAGCCCCTGGATCAGATTTTAAGACATTGGCTGTCCCAAGCTCTTGATCTATGGCAGGTCTAATGCCAAACTTCCACCCCAATGCCTACTGATTCTTTCAGAGTGTTTTAAGGAGACAGACCAAGTGGTACAGCCTCTTTGAGGCTAGTCCTACCTAAATCAATGGAGCTTTTTGTTTGAAAAGAGAATGACTAAGGGATGATGTCATGAAAAATGGAAAAGTAGGAAATTCCAAGGGTTGGGTCCCTCCACCTAAACAACCATTAAGTTAGAGGAAAAAACCTGTAAAGGTCAACTATTTCAGAACTCTAGAACCTGATTGGACACTTACAGCAACCATGGGAGTGCTTCATGAAGGGAGAGGCTGCCGATGGCTCATAAGTGACCACACACAAGGAATATAGACTTTGTGTAAATAGTTTGGAAAAGTCACCAGGTAAACAGACATCTGCAGCCCTCAACAAACCACAAAACCAATTGCCAAGAAGGGGAGAACCTCACTTCCAGAGTTACCACATAATATTACTCAAAATGTCCAGTTTTCAATAAAATATTATAAAGTATACAAAAAACAGGAAAATATGGCTCAATCACAGAATAAAAAGAAACTATCTGTAAGGAAGTTCAGACATTGGAATTATTAATCAAAGATATTAAATCAACTATCTTAAATATGCTTAATGAGCTAAAGGAAACCAGGCACTAAGAACTAAAGGAAATC